CTCCAGGCACCCAGATGACTCAAGCCCACTTGAACCTGGGGGCCTGGCAGCCAAATGTTTGTCTCAACAAACACAGCTTCACCCTGGGCCCACCCCGCACGTCCCTTTTAGCTTAGAGCCCTCGTGTGCAGGGGGCCAGCTTTCTGGCTCCATTGGAGGCGGCCTCATCAGGGCAGCTGTGGACTTGCATTCAGCCCGGAGGGCCTGGCGGGACAGGAGAGCTGGACTGCGCTCTGGTGAACTGCTCAGCTGGTGTCTTACAAGAGGGACGCTGAGGGATGCCCTCCCCTTGGCACTGTGAGTCACTCTAGGCCTTTTGTTGACACTTTGTCCCTTTCTTTGGTCTCCCCCTCTACCTGCTACTTTTCTGTTTCCTGCCGTCCAGGGAAGGCCTGTCAATCCCAGCCTGGTCAGGGTGGGGAGTATGGGAGCAGGCCCTGCGGGTGGGGGAGGTTGATTTTTGGCCCATTTCTGGGCAGTGTCCCAGGCCCTTCTTTATAGGAGCGGCTTCTCTGGCTTCTTCCCAGGAGCGTGACTACTCTGGTTCCTAAGTACACAGTGGTTCCTAAGAAGTATGGCCTGCATTTCGGGTGGCCTATGGTAGGAGCTGAAGAACCAGGAGATGTGCCTAGAATCATCCAGAGAGGAGATAGCAGCTCAGGGGCTGGGACCCAAGCTTCCCCAAAACTTTTAGGTCATTGTTTCCACATAGTCTTCCTGCCTTTCCTTAGTGTTCTTAAAAGATGAGAAACAGAATTTTCACTTTTTCTGGGGACAGTGCCTCCAGAAGTGGAACATTTTGAAGTGGTATAATTGTAAGATAGGATACAAATTAAACCACTATTGCCCAGTCTTGCAAATCCACTGGCTTAAATCAGGTATCTGATGGTCCAAGGCCACCCTGAACCCAAGGTGGCTATTCCAGCTCCTGCCATCACACCTACCTTCCAGTCCTCGGGGAGGGAGAAGAGGACAAAGGGTTCGTGCGCCTTTTCTTTTCTTGTTCATTTCTGCTGCGAGAGAGGCTGGAAAATTCAGTCTTAAGCTGAGGGGGTTGTGTGAATGCAGCTAAAATTAGACAGTTCTGTTATTAAAGGAAGCGTCCCACGCAGCAGTCTGCCACACGTGGCATGGTTCACCAGTGGGCCTTTATTGGTTGGTGGGAAACAGCAGGGAATAGAGTTGAGATCAGGAGTTTAGTCCAGTCATTTTAGAGAAGCTTTTAAGACCTGGAGAGGGAAGTGGTTTGCAGTGCTTCATAGGCTTGCGGTAGAGCAGAGGTCACTGAACTGTTTCTGTAAGGGTCAGGGTGTTAATATGTTTGGCTTTGTAGGCCTTAGAATATCTGCCACGATAACTGAGCTCTGCTGTTGCAGCACAAAAGCAGCTGTATGGTACAGATGAGTGGGCTGTGTGCCAATAAAACTTTATTAATGAATACAGGTGGCAGGCCAGATCTGGCCCCCGAGCTGTAGTTTGCAACCCCTGTTGTAGAGAATTAATGAGATTCTTGCAGAGCAGGGAGCCCCGCATGTAGCACTGAACAGGTAGCAGCTGCGGGTCTCGCTGCTGTTTGCCGCTGCCGTGCAGGGGCCCCTGCGGTGCTGAGCCATGCTGCTGGGGGTCTCCTCCTCACTCTTGCTGTAGTTGGACCCACCCTAGAGCTTGGACTCTGACTTCCTTTGCACTGTTTGTTAAGCACCTCTTCATGCCAGGTGCTATATTGGTGAGGGTGTTACCATGATGGGTACAGAAGTAGGGAGGCCTGGTGACCCTGCCCTCAGGGTGCTGTGCTGTCCACATGAGTACGTTCTTGGAATTTAAATGACCCCAGGCTGCGAAGTACTAGGCCAAGTCAGAGACAAGACCCATCAGAGCCTTCTGGCCCCTGGCTCCCCTGACTCACCCTCTTTCTCTTCCCACAGGTTATGACTTCGCGGCCGTCCTGGAGTGGTTCGCCGAGCGGGTTGACCGCATCATCCTGCTCTTTGATGCCCACAAGTTGGACATCTCTGACGAGTTCTCGGAAGTCATCAAGGCCCTCAAGAACCACGAGGACAAGATCCGCGTGGTGCTGAACAAGGCTGACCAGATCGAGACCCAGCAGCTGATGCGGGTCTATGGGGCCCTCATGTGGTCCCTGGGGAAGATCATCAACACGCCCGAGGTGGTCCGGGTGTACATCGGCTCCTTCTGGTCCCACCCACTCCTCATCCCTGACAACCGCAAGCTCTTCGAGGCTGAGGAGCAAGACCTCTTCAAAGACATCCAGTCTCTGCCCCGAAACGCCGCCCTCCGGAAGCTCAATGACCTGATCAAGCGGGCACGGCTGGCCAAGGTAGAGCTGGCAGTGGGGACGGCCCAGGGGCCTCTGGGACAGCCACTCAGGGCACTGGCATTGGATGCCCAAGACCCAGGCCTTCAGAGCCATGGCCATGCTGTTCCATGCCTTGTCTGGACCTGTCCTCTGGTGCACCTGCGGGTGCAGCCTTTTCCTAAGTGAGATTCTTTTTAACTCATATAAACATCAAAGAGGATGGTACCACTGTACCAAGGGGCACCCTGGGAAGTAGAGAGTGGGAGAGGGTGCTGCTTGAGGCCTCATCGGCCCCCTCCCCGGGTCTGCTGAGCACTGCAGTGCACTCAGCAGGTGCTGGGCACTGGGGCCACAGTGGGGACTGATGGGCCCCCACCCTCCTGGCACTGGCCATCTGAGTGGGAGAAAGGAGGACACATAAAGAAAGAGTATGATGTATTTGTAGTGTCTCGGGGTAAGCATGGGGTGCTGCAGAGGCAGGTGACTGGAGAGCGATCCTGGGTGGGGGTGGGCAGGACCAGGGGACCTCAAGCGGGAGATGACTCTCAGGCCGGGACAGGAGGTAGTCAGTGGAGAGATGGGGCACAAGCCTGCGGGCCCAGAGAGAACTGCTGGGTGGCCTCCACCCAAGAGGCCTTGTCAATCATCCCTGCCCCTCCGTGGAATCGCTGTGGGCCTGCTGGCAGATGCTGACTACGTCTGGATTGCTCAAGAGTTTGGAATCTCAGTGCCTGGCCAAGCACTTCAGGGAGATCCTGGGTGGCTGGGGCTGGGAAACAAAGGTTAAGACCACTATTGGACCCTTCAAACACTGAGAAACAGAATGTGTTTCCTTAGGACATGTGATTTTGAATGGCACCATATCGGGAGCCTCTTTGGGTGGCAGGGCCTGTCCTGCAAGAGCCAGGAGGAGCCCCAAGGGCTGTGCTCCTGTCCGCAGGAAGCCGGCTGCCTGCATGCCCAGAGGTTTTGCGACTGCATAGGCCGAACACAGTGGCCCGGGGCACCCCATGCCGTCTTGAGGCCCAGAGTCAGGTAGCTTTGGGTGCTCCCTGGCCTGAGTAATGGAAGTGACCCTTCATCCCTACTTCCGGCTGCGTCTTCACCCTCATTACCTAAAGTACTCCTGGACCCACAGATTGGAATTTACTAGAAGCGTAGGGTCTCAGGTCCCACCTCTGCCCTATGGAGCCAGGATCTGCATTTGGACACAGTCCCCTGGTGATCTGTGTGCATAGTAAAGATGCAGAAGCCTGCTCTGGAGGCTGCATATTTCTCTAGATATCTCACTTCTGGAACCTTCCTGGTGAGTAGAGCTGGTTCTGAGGAAGGAACCCTTGTAACTAGCTCCTAGCCTCAAATGGCCAAGGGACGGCCTGAGCTGAAGAGGGAGTGGCAGTAAGTGGAGGAGAGAGCTGGCCTCCTATTTTCCGGTCCGGTCTCTGCTCAGTTGCAGGGAAAGGCAGCTCCCCTGTCCCCTGCCCAGCCTCTCTCCTGGCAGGGCCACCCATGCTCTCACTTAGCCTCCTTCCAGGAAAGAACAAAGGGCAGACTTCAGCCCCTGCTGGCCCTTGGGCACACTGAGTCACCATGTCTGGAAAGCCCCGTCCTCTCCAATCTTGTCCTGCACCTGCTGATTTGAGACTGTTCCCTTTTTCTGGAATAAGTTGCTCTCTCTGCTGGCCTGTGATGGGTGGAGCTGTGACTGTGACTGTGACCGGCTTGCTTCCCTTGGTCAGTGCTCAGCCAGTCTCCCGGCCCTGAGCAGACAGGGTCAGGCCAGCAGAGGGGGTTTTATGGGGTGGAGCTGGCAGTCTGGGAGAAGGTTGCATGAGGCTGACTGGCCACAGCCCCTCCATGGCTGGATGTTGCTTGGCAAGGGACTGTAGTGCCCTCAGAAGGTTGTCAGCATTACTGGCCCACTATCAGGAAGTGAAGGGTGTGCTGTCTTAATTGGCAGATGTCTAACCAAGGTACTGAGCTTAGATAAAGCCTGAAACATCTGGGAAAAGCCTTGTGTGATTTTTCTAACCCTTAATTGTCCCCGAGGTTGTCAGGATGATAGAGGGGAACATAGCTCGGGTTGTGCTGGAGTTTTGTGAACTGGACATCAGCATCCAAAGACTCGTGTAAGCAGGATGGTGTGAACATGTTCTGTGTCTGATGGACTGAGGCGCTGCCGAGGGAGGTGGGTGTGCCGCCGAGAAACAGAATGTGGGCTTCAGGGCGACAACAGTCCCAGCTGTCTGGGGCAGCCTAGGTGCAGGGCATGCTTCTGACGAGGTGTCCAGGAAGCACCTGACACCTGCCCCTTCCCTGTCTTCACAGGTCCATGCCTACATCATCAGCTCCCTCAAGAAGGAGATGCCCAATGTCTTTGGTAAAGAGAGCAAAAAGAAAGAGCTGGTGAACAACCTGGGAGAGATCTACCAGAAGATTGAGCGGGAGCATCAGATCTCCCCCGGCGACTTCCCAAACCTCCGCAAGATGCAGGTATGGCTGTCTCTTGCACCCTAAGAGGGCTGCTGGTGATCAGGGAGTGAGGAAGGTGCTGGGGCAGTGGTTTTGGAGGAAACCGTGGCTCCATTGGTTGGGGCTTCCGAAAGTGGAAGCAGCTGGGTTAATCAGCACCCCACCCGAACTGGAGAAGTTGACCACGGCCGTGACAGCTCACAGGGGAATGTGGTGACTCACCCTGAATGGTAGGGAGAGGGCAGGGCTGTGCCAGGCATCCCAACCTCCAAGTTTATCCCTGCCACAGCCCTGCAAGAAGGAGACTTTGTACCTCTGATTTACAGATGGGGGAGCCCAGGCCCAGAGGGGTTAACTGAGTTGCCTGGGATGTTAAGGGGTTGGGGCCTTGTTGTGGAGCCAGCTCTTTCTTCTTGGGATCCCTTGCCAGAGTCCGGGAGGCCCAATCCAGTCCCGTCCTTCCTCCTTTCCCACCACAGGAGCTCTTGCAGACCCAGGACTTCAGCAAGTTCCAGGCCCTGAAGCCCAAGCTGCTGGACACAGTGGACGACATGCTGGCCAATGACATCGCCCGGCTGATGGTGATGGTGCGCCAGGAGGAGTCCCTGATGCCCGCCCAGGTGGTGAAGGGCGGCGCCTTCGAGGGCACCATGAATGGGCCCTTTGGGCATGGCTATGGCGAGGGGGCCGGCGAGGGCATTGATGACGTCGAGTGGGTGGTGGGCAAGGACAAGCCCACCTACGATGAGATCTTCTACACCCTGTCGCCCGTCAACGGCAAGATCACGGGCGCCAACGCCAAGAAGGAGATGGTGAAGTCCAAGCTGCCCAACACAGTCCTGGGGAAGATCTGGAAGCTGGCCGACGTGGACCGGGATGGGCTGCTGGACGATGAGGAGTTCGCGCTGGCCAACCACCTCATCAAAGTCAAGCTGGAGGGCCACGAGCTGCCCGCTGACCTGCCCCCACACCTGATCCCTCCCTCCAAGCGGAGGCACGAGTGACCACCCCGCCATCCACGACCCCACCTCAGTGCCCAGCCAGGTGGAGGCTAGGGGAGGGGAGGGTTAGTGGTTCTCAAGTCCATAAAGACTGAGTGATGTTTCCTCAGCTCACAAAAGAAAACCACCATCTTTCTCTTAAGGCTGCTCTTAGGGGAGGCAGGGGTGATACTCATATGTGAATGATGGAATTTTGTGCATAAGAACTACGGATATTTTTAATATATAACGTTAGAGGCAGCGTTCTTTCTTGCCTCCTCCGGCTGGCAGCCCCACGCACGCACAGCCGCTGCCCTCCCCGCCTTCTCTGCGGCCCACGCAGCAGCCCCGTGACCGAGACCTGGGGGAAGCCACCCGGCACGCCCTTCCAGTCTCTGGGGGCCCTGAGGACACGTGCAGACCCAGATTGGGATTCCCTTTTGTGTCTAGGTGGAGTCGCTCCATCCGGACTGCAGCTTCCCTCCCCACCCAGTCCTGCCTCCTCCTAGGCTCCCAGATGGAGTTGGATCTCGTGCCTTCCTTCTTCCCTTCCCCATGGCCCCCTGTCTGCAAGTCCTGCTCCTTGCTCTCATGTCCCCCTGGCTCCACAGCCACAGAAGCAAGGCCCAGCTGCCTTTTTGAGGGGACTCCAAGGGATGGGTGGATGTGGGAGACTGTCTTCCGGAAAAATACATAAGCTGATTTTTGATCTGTAAAATGACACCTCTCATACTTGACTGAATTTTCCAGTAACTTCCCAACCTCTTGTTCAGAAGCTGTGATCTTTGTCCCCTTCCCCACACTCCAGCCGGGGGACAGCTCCACTTGGGAGCCATTAGAGGTGGGGTATGCGCAGAGCACACCCTGCCCGAGACCCCAGAGCTTGTGTTTTCCTGCTTCATCCTCTCACTTTCCTGGAACATTCTGGGCACCTCCCTGCCCCACCTCTGGTGGATGGTGGGTCCCCGTGAGCCTGCTATGGCGTGGTGCTCCAGGTACAGAGACCAGGGACAACCCGGCCCCTTCCCTTTCCCACCTGCCGCCTTCCCCACTCCTGAGCACAGGAGGATGGCAACTTGACTTGGATGCCCTTAAAGCAGTCCCCCAGGCTGAGCAGCCTGGGCTGGCAAGCAACCAAGTCAGGCCTCCTCACTCTGCTTTGCCTCGGCTGGGCTGTCCAAGCACAGCCTCTGGGGGCCTGGGTGTCCTGCTGGCCAACGTTCAGCTGCCAGGGCCTGGCGCTGCCACTGCAGAGCCACTGTGCCAGGGGGAGCAGGCTTCCCACCAAGACCGCCCATGGGGTCTCAGGACTCCTCCACTCTGACCTCTGACCCCTGACCCTGCCCACCCTTCCAATGCTGCCCTCTAGGCCTCAGCTGGGTCCCAGTCACCGGGAACAACTGGTTGCCTCCCGCTGGCCGTGGCCCACCATTCACATGGTATTGGGAGGATAGAGGCAGCATCCTCATTGGAAACTCACTGAGGTGCAGTGGCTTATCCACATTTGTGGGAAGAAAAAGCAACTGAAGACAAGGCTTTCTCACATTAAAAGAAGTTGAATTGTGCTGAAGCTGGCTCCTGGTGCTTAGATGTCTCTTCTGGGCCTGCGCCCCACGCTGCCTGCTCAGTGCTGGCAGAGCATTTCGGGCGGAGATACCACCAGGGACAGGTTGGCAAGCCTGCCTGGGTGAGGTGGCGGTCCCTGCCCAGCCGTGCTCAGTTCTGCAGCAGCTGCTGCCTCCTATTAATAGAGTGAGGCCTGGAAATGGGGCTGATGACCCTCTTTCCTTGTGCTAGGTGGGGGCTGAGCTGGGATAGTTTATTTTGGGGAAAGATGGGGTAAAGCAGTTGTGGTGGCCTCTGATGACAGGATTAGGCTCCCCCACTCTCAGGTCTAAGGGAGCAGGTGCCTGCCTATGACCATCTTCACAGCATCTCCTCCAACCTGGGCTCTGCCCCAGCCATAGACAGACAGGTGGGTGCCCACAGGGCTCTGGGCACTGGGAGGTATCAAGCAGATGGGGTGTACTGGGCTCCATGCTGGCCCCAGGGTTGTTTAGAGACAGGGAAGCCAGTGCTTTGAAGGCAGACGAAGCAGATAACACCAGCGACAAAAATACAAAGGGTTGGCCAAGCCTATGTCACAGATAGGGGACTGCTTTTGCCCGCAGAGAGGAGGGTGACAACTTGGGAGCCAACGCGCCGTGCAAGGGTGTAGATTAAGGTGCGATTGGGTGGAGACCGCTCCAGGCACACTTGGGGCAAAAGGCAGAATGTGAACAGTTGCCTGCGGGTTTTGAGGACCAGGCACTGTGCTCCAGCCCAGGTGGTGGGCGTCTGGTCTGATGAGTGTCTGAGGCAGCAGGAGCTCCCCAGCCCTCCTTGCACCACTCGGAGCATTTGCTTGGTGCTAGGTTTACCCTGACTGTAGTGACCTGGGAGCTCAGCGTCTTCTCCACCTCACAGCTGAGGACCTGAGACTCAGGAGAGCTGGAAGATCAAGTGCAGCAGGACTAGATTCAAACCAAGGTCTGCCCAACTCCAGAATGTGCGCTTCACCGTTTCTAATGGAAAATACCCTATAAAAGGAAAACCAGAGCTCACTGTGTCTCCTGAAGTCTGCAGCTCTAGACTCAGATTTGAGAAACGCACATGGAAGATTAAATGCTGTCACTGCAGTCTGGGGCCCTGGAAGCTGGGGGCAGCCCCTCAATTTCCAGGGTCACTGAAGAGGCAGAGCAAGCTCCTTCAAGCTGTCAGAGCACAAAGAAAACACAAGATGTAAGGGTCCTCTTGGGACATGAGTGTGAGAACCCCTGCCCGGCTTGCTCTGCCCCTGCACTGTGGGACACCTGGGCCCCCCTCCCTGGGCCCCTCATCCTTATGGTGGCTGACCCAGGAAGTGACTGCTCACCAGAGGCTTGAAGAGGGGCCACGGGCACACATCTGCCCCAGATCTCATACCCTGGTTTTGGCTTTACAGGTTGTGGGGGAGTCTTCTCCCCGCCATGATGAGGTGTGGCCAGTGGGCATGGACTAAGGTATCCCTGTGGGGGGCCAGACCCTGCCCCTTGCCTTCTCCCCAGGTCCCTAGTTGGCCAGGATCCTGGGTGAAAGGCCCCTCTTCCGAGGCTGGTCTGGGGCACGGGACCAGGTTCCACCAGAGCTTCTGGAGTTGGAGAACTTGGGGCAATCTGCCCACATGATACCTCAGATACCAGGGCCCACCCTCTGGGCCCTCACACAGTGGCTCTTTTATACATGGACCTTCCATGTGAAAGCAATAAACATTTCTTCTGCTCCTTAATAAACAAAAAAGTTAACCATGAATCCAGTTCAGTGCCCTCTTATCTCAAATGGGCTGGTCAGAGGACTTGCCCACAGACAAGGTCACCAGGCTGTGACAGGGTTAGGAATTCCACCAAGTCCTGCCCCTCAGCATTCAAAGTAGCTGGCTTGGAAAGCACACAGAGGGTAGGCCTCAGGGCAGACAGGCAGGAGTTCGAATCCAACGCTGCCACTTGAGGGGACTCAGCCATCCTCTCCCCTCTCGATCTGTTTCCTCAGGACTGAATGCAGACAGTGACCCCTGCTTCCTGGAGGCAGGGTCCCTGTGTGCCCAGCTTGAGCAGCCGCCTTTCCTGAGTACCTCAGGGAGGCTGATCAGGGTTGGGTGAGGGTCTTGCACAGAGCCCAGCACCCCACCCAACTCTCAGAACAAAGCAAGTGGGACCCACCCTTCCCTGGAGCAGAGTGCAGACTTCGTGGCGCCCAAGGGCCAGAGGGGTGGTGGCTGAGGGGGCTTGGGCTTGGCTTCCAGTGCGCCCAGAAGGACTGATAATTATAAAACCACATGGGGCTGCAGCCGTTGTGGCTGTGGAGCGTGGGAGCCCCTATGGCGTGTTGGAGCAGCAGGGAAGGTTTTTGGAAGAAAAGCCAGGATGATGAAATCACCATATGTCCACCCATTTGGAGCGTGGACTTTTCAAAGGACACACCCCTGGTGTGCCGTGGGCAGAGGAGTGGGCTTATAGGGCTGCCAAAGACTAGCCTAGGGAGTAGGGACCCTCAGCCCCACCATCTGCATCAGCCCCTCCCCCAAGCCACTGCAGTTGATATATTTAAATAAAACCAGAGGCCTGAGCAGGATTGCAGTTCTACAATCCTCCACCCTCCAATCACATGCCCCTCCTAGGGGCCTGTTCCAGCCACAGCTGGAGGCCAGTCCACGTACCCTTTGTCCCCCACACCTGAGCTGGCCCAGTTCTCCGTTGTGCACAGAGACAGAGACCCAGAAAGAGAGGAAGTCGCTCACGAGAGGCCACACGCCTGGCCAACAGGAGGCAGGGCTGTCTGATCCCAAGGCCGGCCTCTCCTTGTCCTCTGACTCCCTGGGGCAGAGTAGGGCGCTGCACCTCTGCTGTGGCCAAGGGCAGGAGCCCTGTAGGACCATCTGCTGAGAGCAGTTTTGGGAGGCACAGCTGGGAGAGGCTCATCCTCAGCCATGGGCGGCTGAACCTCGACCTTGGGGAAAGGGGAACCACAGACCAGGGTCAGGACGCCTAAGATTTGGGTGTGGGTGTGGATGTGAACGACCCCAAAGCCTGCCCTGTGTCTGGGCCCCTCCCAGACACAGACTCAGAGGGCTGTGCTCTAGGGGTCAAGAAACCCGGGTTTCCTGCTACTCACCTGCACTGGGCTCTCACCTTCCACCTCTTTGGGGTCCCCCTTATCTGAACTGTCCTCTTTCTGCTAGGCCTGGGTCAGTTGTTAAGCTGACAGTTTCCTTTTCTCACCATCTAAGACCCTCCTCAGAAGCCCACATACATCAAGTCCACCATAGTCTGGCCTTTCCCTTTTCCTTGTCCCCAGGGGCTGGATGCCAGATGCTGCCTTTCTGCTGCCAGGCACTGGCCTAGGCCTGGAACCTGGCACAACCCACTACCCACCACCCCAGCCTCAAGGTATCAATCTGTTAACGAGGGAGGGCAATAATAACTCCCTCCTTCTGGCAGGGCCCTGGTGAAGATAACAGATCTGCACTCACTTTGAAATGCTAGGAAGCACCAGAGAAATGTGAGGCGGTGTAATCACCACGATCTGCTACCCCTCGGGGCTGGGTAAGAGCTAGTGCCAGCATCTCAATGCCAAAGGGGCTTAGGTGGGCTGGGAGGGTGGAGGGGGCAGTTGACCCTGTACCTGAGTGGGTCTCCAGAAAGCAGTGACTGGAGGAGTGTGAATGAGGAGGTTGGTGAGAAGAGAGGGGTGGTGGAGTTCTCCTGCTCAGACTCACTCATCTGCAGAGTACCCACCCGCTGGGCCAGGGTCCCTGCCACACACCGTTGGATCAGAGAATAGATCTCCTTGGGGCAAAGCAGGGCCAAGTGCTGGAACTTCTTCTGACAGCAGATCTGGGGGACTAGCTACTCACTGAGGCTGGAGCAGGAGTTCAGGTACAGACTGAGTCCCAAGGGGCATTCTGACCTTACAACTGCATAGAAAAGGAATGCAGGGAGCCCAACCTCCTTTTACAGACAAGGCAACCGAGGCTTGGAACAAGGTCGTGACAAAGCCAAATACAGGACCAAATAGAATCAAGCGCCAGTCCCAGCTCTGCCCCATGAAGACTCCAGCAGGACTGTTTTTGCTGTAGAGGGCTGTTTCCCCTCTGCTGTACTATGTGGGACAGAGTCCGAAGGGCAGGGGATAGACTTGTTGAGAACTTGACATTCAGAGAGGCTAAGGATCACACAGGGAGTGACCTAGGTGAGACCCAGAGTCCTCACCAGTTGGCCCTTGACTACTGACCCTTGGGGACTGTGGTGGGGTTGGGGTGAGGGATCAGGGTGTCCAAGAAGGGCAGAAGAGGGATGGCCCATTTTCCTACCCAGGACCCTTTCCCTCCTGTTCCCCAGGAAAAAGGAACTTGCTCCCAGCTTGAGTACCTGGCCCTACTCTGGTCTCTGGCGCCCTCCTGTGGCCACAGAGGGTGGGAATCTTTCCCATGGGCCCCACCTCTGCCCCGCCCCCTTAAGGAGGGCCTAGAACGCTTCAGGTGAGAGCCAGGAGGGCTCAACACACCATCCCCACCCCCTCCCGTCACAGAGGCAATGACAGCATCCCCAGATCTGGGTTTGAATCCTGGCCTCCCTTCCCTAACCTGACCGCCTTGGGTGAGACAGCCCATTGCACAGACCTCGGGCCTGTGAAGCCACAGGGCAGGTCTCTGAGGAGATCAAGTGTGAGACCCGTCGGGAAGTCCCCTGTGTGCTGCCAGGGATGCTTAGTTCAAGAATTTTGTCACGAAACTAACCCTGTCTGGTTTCAAGAAGGTCCCCATCTGAGGGAGGAGGCACATCTCCAAACAGAACTTTTAATGGAAGAATTTGTTGTCTAAAGCCACGAAAATGCCCCACCCTTTGATCCCTCCTCTTGGACAGCCCCACAGCTCCACGGCGTCTGGTCCAGCTGGAGACAGCTGGGCAATCAGAAATACCACTGGACAGAGTCAGTCCCTCCCCTTTCCCACCTCCTCCAGCCCAGCCTGGACCTCTTTGGCCCTCACGTTCC